TATTTTATTTGTTCAGACATTTCATTTAACCTGTTATAATGTTATATAAATAAAAAATTAAACACTAGTAGAAAATAAGATATACTATCTCGTGCCATCGTTAGATTTTAAAAGTTCTTTCCTAATTTCTTGAAATTTTTTACTGAGCTTACTTTTTTAAACATTTCAAAATTTTTTTTATAGAGATATAAACATGCATGAAAATATATTACGAACTTAATAGGGTTTCGGTATATTTATAAAAAATTAGCTCACCTAAAAAATATCATTTTAGTCATTTTTTTATATCAATATCGTTTTTTAGCTCTACAGCTTTAGTTATAAATATATTTAGGTAAGTCGTTAAGTCAATTGATCAAACTACTAAAGAATGGAGTGTTTTTGAAGACTAAGAATATTTTTAGTGCATTCTCGCCAACAAACAGTTGACAAATAATCTAATAAAACCTCTCTTTGGTAGCAATTTGAAATGCCAAACGCCGAGAATGCGTACGCTATTACGCCAACAGTTTAAAAAGTGTTAGGGATTTATATATTTTCCTAATCGGTGATTGCACTTCAAGAAGATCGGATATCCACACATGTGACCTAATGACGTCAGTCCCGGCTGATAGTATACAAGCCAAATGGCGTGTTAAAGTTGAGCTAAGTTTCTTCACATCAGTCAGAATGTTAATTAGAGTGAAGTTAATTAAATACAGCTCCGTACCGAACATCAAATTTGTTGAAATATAATTCTTTCTCGTCTACGTCTTTTACTTAACTTAGATTTATTAATTGTTTATGTATTTTATTGTAACCCGTGATACATTTGTTGTGATGCATAATTAGCTTGTTAATGGTTTCGTGCTTTTGTGTTAAGTAAGAAATATATAGTGAAAGAATTAACATTTGTAAAATAATTCAGAATGTGCAACTTAAGAGAATTGATACTTGACGGTCTTGGCTTACTCGAAATAGAATATAAAGAACAGCTGCTAGCGTAAATGTACAACGTTTCAACAACCAATCAAGATTGAGATACCCACACTACGTCACTTTCAGACATCCCATTGGAAGCCCACAAGAAATAAAGGGAAGGTGTTATCTTTAATTCCGTTAGCCAACGAAGGAACTTTGAATCTAGTTTATTCAAGTGTCACTTATAACATTCATCCAATCATAAGCGTTTGTGAAAATTGCAACATCATGAAGAAATTATATGCAACATGAAACATGAAATGTAAAGTAAGGTAAGATACTTAAATGATTCGAAAACAAATGCGTGCAAACTATCAAAGCGCATGTTTATCTGTACCAATATCAGTAACTATTCCTCCATGGTGTTACAATTTTCGCAAACATTACTGATATCAATCTAATATAAAAATAACTAATAAGCGTTATACAGCTTTATATATGTTTCAATAAATGATTTACTCTTAATTTAAAATAACCTGATAGCAAAACTAATTCCGGTAAAATGATGTAATATTTCTTTAACATCTTATAATTCAAATTAGCCTATGTAAAAATGTAACTATTTCGTTTGTCATATCGTATAACATTTAAGCTAAGACCTCATTGAATTATTTAAATTAAAGTACAATAATTGCTTTCATATTTAATTAGTTATAATAAAATAACGTAACTAATTTTTATGATTTTGTGGTTAGATATAAATATAACTACTATAGTTAACTAAAAAGAACACAATAATTAAATTATTTATTATATATCGCAGTATTTGTAGAACAAAAATAGTAATCAGATAAACTAGTCTGTTTTATACACATTGATAGCGGTGTGAATGAAAGACTTGTTGGTGCTTTTCAGTTAAATAACAAAAGCCAGTTATTTATTATTTAAGTCATTAATAACGATTCTAATTCTAAATAACTAAGTTAAAGCAGAACTCCATTTTTGTAAGAAGTAAAATTGTTTTATGTCATTCTGAAAAAGATATAAAATGGTGCTGATCGTTTTTCTGAACAGTTTTTCCTCAGAATAGTTTTTTAAAATTATTTTTATGTACGTTAAATAGTTTTAGGTATGACAGTACTTTATCCGAATTTCAAGGGGTTAAAAATTTGATTATTTTTGTAATGAATCATTTTGTTTAAAAAGGCTAAAAATTTTATAAAACAAGAATAAAGTAATAAGAAATAAAATTGAACATCGTCATCACATAATGGCAAGTAACGGTTATATGAAACAACATACCAATGAATTTTCAATTGTTTTGAATCGACTATATTTTATAAACTATTGTCAAGTGGTCTTTTTATTTTGAACTTATTAAGAGATTTTTATTTGAATTTATTCATGCGCTGTTATTTCTAGCATTAAAATTTTCATTATTATAATCATTTAGCAAGCTATTGTAAAGCAGAAAGTTGTAAATCAAAAATGTTTTTAAGTTTGTTTTAATTAATTGTTAAGTTTGTTATGATTTGTTTACTACTAAATAATGAAATCTTAATTTGCAAAAAATTAAATCTTCGTTTAAAAATAATAAATAAAAGAGCAAAATAAAAGAGTGTATATGTAAAACCAAATCCCTGTAAGATATGCTTTTTCTTCATGACTATACACTGTCTAATTTAAGAATAAAAAAAATAATTAAAAACTAATTTTTCCGATAAAAATCACTCAAGTCATGGTGGCTCAGGAGAAAGATCGCTCGCCTCGAATACAAGTGGTTACTGGTTGGCACGAATTATGCTCCTAGATCACACCAACCACAGTGCTGAAGAGAAATATACTCAACCGTAGACGGATCATGTGCTGAAATCTTCTTACCATCGGGCTAACCATGGAAGGTTTTTGTGGTTTTCTTATCCAAGTAACACAAATGGGGATTAGTTCCATCAAAAAGTCCACAACAATGGTTATTTTGAACCAATTTTTGATCCAAGAGTTCCCTTGGCTTCTGGATTGGTTTCAATATTACAAGGATACGGAGTTGAACATTCATAGTTGTTAACTCAAAATTGGGTCCACTGTTCAACACCGGTTTTAAAAATAGAATACAAAAGTCCTTTCTTGTTTGAATTGCGAGTCACCGCGTAAATTTAACCGTTTTATAAACTGTCGTATCTACTTTACAGGAATTGTTTAAACATTTTGAAACTTAACCAATAAAAATTCCCACTGAAGCGCTGTTTTTCTAGAAAATAGACGAAACTTTTTAGAATTTTCGCGTAACAGTAGTTGGAAAACTCCCGTGTTGGCGATATAAAAACTGAAACCATTCGAATTTTTTTAAAGAAAGAAATAAGCTTCTGATAAGTTATCGCAATCGCTTAGCATCAGAAAATATCAGAGGTTTTTTTTTTTCTTCTTCTTCTTTGAAGTTAAACTGAGGAATATCTATAAAGTCGCAAGCTGTTCTAGATCGGTGAGAATAAATAGGGTGAATCTTTTTCCCAAGACTTAAATAGAAAGAAAAAAAAAGAGTGAGTATAAAGTTGGTGTGACGTATATCTTTCTTGACGTGCCTTTGTAAAGTTTGATCCTCGAAATGTTTCTTTTTCTCATGCTTCATGGTTTTTTATTCTAAGACAAAAATTCTACTTCCATTTTAGAGCTTTCATACATATTTCATAGACCACCATCTTATTTTATGACAGACGAAAAAGAAACAGCGTTACAATCGGTCACATGGGAAGAAATTCGCTAATTTTTTTGGAAGACACCGCGTAAAATGAATCTCTTCAAAATAGCAATTTGAATTTTATTAGTTTAAATAAAATAGTTTAATAAAATAAAAGGTTTTGCTGGGATAGGCAGGTCGGTAGGGCGCTGGGTTCGATCCCCTCCGACGAAAGACTCCCCGTGTAGTAAATACTGACGGATGTACGTAAAATCTGTCGAGACGCAAAGGCCTCCATGTTCCCATAACATATCTATACCTTTGGGGGCACTGATCCAAGAGTTTCCTTGCCTTCTGGATTAGGTTCAAAATTACAAGGCTACGGAGTTGAACATTAGTAATCATAAACCCAAAAAGTGGGTCGGTTGTTCAATGACGGATATATACGGGTAAGAGCCGCGATGGCTCAGGGGTTAGAGCATTCGCCTTCCAAGGAGGTGAACCGGGTTCGAATCCCAGCGGTGGCTGGTCGATACGAATTCCACATCCAATTTGCAACGAGCACAGTGCTGACGTCAAATATCCTCAGTGCCACACGGATCATGTGTTAGAGTTCACTTGCCGTCAGGCTAACTGTGGGGAATAACATAAACAAACTAACGACGTATCGAAAATGGCAGGTACATAAAATCAAAATATAACACGGTTACAATAAATCTTAGTTAAGTAAAAGATGTAGAAAAGAAAGAATTACATTTCAACAAATTCGATGTGTGATACGGAGCTGTGTTTAATTAACTTCGTTAACACTGGAAAGACTGAAATACCTATATTGCCCAAAAGCAGTCAAAATGACTGCATTGTGAAAGAATAACTAATGTCTTAAGAAATTTGTTTAAAATTAATTTCTAATATTTTTGATATTATTTGCAGTTATATAACAAGTTATTAGTAAATATTAACAATAAAAAATTTTTTATGTTGTACAAAAGTCACAAAATTCTAAGAAATTGTGTCATCATTATTTTTCTAATTGAAATTAAAAAGCAGTCAAAATGACTTCCTTGGGCAATCTAGTGTTAATTAACATTCGAACTTATATGGAGAAGCTTGCTCAACTTGAACGAGCCGTATTGTTTATACATGATCAGCTGGAGGTGACGTCATGTGTGGGTACTTGTGATCTTCTTCTTCTTGAAGTGCAAGCACCCAATTGATGTAAGGATATTTGTTTGTAGGAAAAATGCGCAATTGAGAAAATATGAGCTAGATTATTCATATGCATCTCAATTTACATAAAATTCAGATTTGTAACAGTATCAAACATGTTTTGAATTTATATTTACCTGTTGAGATATATAAGCAATATATCAGAGCATTTATCTAAAAAATCAAAGTATCACGGTTAAATTTTTTTTCTTCGAAATAGTAAAAAGAAAAGATTTTAATTTTTCTGAACAGAAAAATTAGTTTGAGAAAACCTGTAAATTGCAAACCTATCTTAAAAAAACGAAATAATTTCTCAAAATGTTTTAATGTTTTCCTATAGAGAAAATATTCTTTACTCTGGAAAAAAGGTGTTGTACTATTTTTGGTTAGACAAATACTCGTTAAAATTCTTCATTCACATACCAGACGGTCAATTTTTTTCAAAAAAAATTAAAAATTAATTTAGCAAAACCAGAAACTAGAATAGACTCTTAATTTCGTAGCTTAGTAGAAGTTTAGTAAAAGATTTATAAAAGTTTAGTGAACGAAGTTTAATAATCAGCTATAGAGTATATGATGTTTTATATGAATGTTTTTCCCCCCATTGAATATTGTCGTTTAGGTAAGTAATTAAACATGGAAATAATTAACCTTTTGCTTACGGCATTTAGCATGCTGGTTCATGCCTGCCATTATGGTCTACTTCTGGTACAAGAAAGCAAAAGGGTAAGGAAAAAGCGGAAACTGGTTTAAAAGTAGTGGCGTACATCCAATATGGATATTTGAATCCCTTTTTCAATGATTTACGCGTCATATTCCTATTTGCGTGTGTGCTTAGACAAGTGAGGTATTGTTTCTTATGAATGTTTTTTTAATATACTGAATTGATCTTTATTCTATTGATAGAACTAATAACACAAAAGTTCACTGATTAGAGTATTGTTCCAAAGTTATTTCGGCAAAAATTATACCACAATACCCTTTTAACTCCTAAAATATTAGTCTAATCGATGTAATCTATAGTTTAATCGATATACTAAATATTAGTTTAATCGATATACTAAATATTAGTTTAATCGATATACTAAGTATTAGTTTAATCGATATACTAAATAATAGTTTAATCGATATACTAAATATTAGTTTAATCGATATACTAAATAATAATTTAATCGATATACTAAATTATACTAAATATTAGTTTAATCGATAAATCTTTGTAACTTCAGAACTATCAATTCTATTGACTCAATTTTGATTTAATTCAATTCAGCGTTAACAAATATATAAGAAACAGCATCTGTAAAGATAGTTGTTAGACGTTTAATAGGTAGATATATATAAAAAACAGCTCTTTTTATACACAAAATCCTTTTAACTTACTATTTGCTTTATTGTCTCTGGATTTATCTCATTTTATATTTATATAACAATATAGCCATGTTTAAGTTTTCCCTTTCGTAAATTTTAAGCTAAAACTCACTTTTCAAAGGCTGGGGCAAACTGAAATCAGATATTCCTATTTAAATTAAACCAAAACTTTTAATAGCCAGCTTTCTCCCATTTTTTTTATTGATACCGGAATTATCTAATTAAGAAAAATGATTTAGTATACCAAAAGAAAACATAAGCATATTATTCAACCTTGTAATTAGAGAGTTTTTAAAATATTAATTAAGACATTTCGTACGTTTTTGAGTAATTCCTATTAAGTTACGTATAAATTGTTATGTTCGTTATTGACAGAATCTATCCAGAATGATATTAAAGTACGTATTTTTTCGCATTAAACATTTATATTTAGTAAACATCACAGATATATCAATTTCGTGAATATATGAAATAGTAATATAAATATCTATTTGTAGTGTTTTTTTAAATCCCAATTAGATTTTCTGTCAGTAGAAGAATTTCAGTAAACAACTGAAAATGGATTGTAAATTATACTTACATACATTCTACCTAATGGACTACTCATTATCATCATAACATGAATTAGTTCTTTTTTTTTGTCAAAAATAGAATTAATGGAAAATTATCCGTTTCTCTCTTACTATTATAAAGTTTTTCTTTTACCTACTTATAATTCATTCGAATTACAATATAAAACACTAGAGTAATGAGATAGATAATTATTAACAGATGTGTAATCGGTAGGGAATGAGATGGCTATCAGTTCTTTTTTATAAAATGTAAATATTCCGTAGCGCTTTAATTGCAGGTAAGTATTGTACAAGTTTTAATTTTAAGAATTCTCACTTCAATCATTGTTACGTTTACCAGTTAATTCGAAAAATACGAACATATTTCTTACACGACCAGTTCTGGCTTGTATTTTTCATTTCAATCATGGTTGTTCAAGTGTTTTATTTCGGCCAGCTAGCATCATTTTTTAATTCAAACACGAATGCTTACATTTCACCCTTCAATCACAATTGGTATTTTTTCTCTCAATTTAAACACGAGTACTTACGTTTCTCCCTTCAATTATGGGCACCATTCTTCCATTAGCCATTACTAACCATTCTTACTTCTGTCATGGCAACTCATTTAAAGTCAGTGTTTGCCTTTTTTTCTCCCTTCAATCATATTTGCTTTTTTACAGCATTTTTCCAATCAGCCATTACTCACATTTTATCCAATCATGACTGCTCTCTTTACACTAGTTGCCCTCATTTCTCCCTTCAATTATAGTTTCGTTTTCAGTCATGAGTGATAGTATTTTTTCCACCAGTCATGACTTATATTTTTCCGCCAACCATGGCTGTCTGTTTTAACCAGTTGACCTCATTCTCCCCATCATTCACAATTTTTTTCATGCGTGCTTACATTTCTCCCTTCAATTATGGTTTCGCATTTTTTCTCCTTTCCATTTATAACTTAATGGTTGTTTACGCTTAATCAACCACGAGTGATTAAGTCATCTTAAACTTACATACTTTCTTCCGTTTGAACCATCCTGGCTTAAACTTCTTGCGTAAATTGTGGCTGAATTTTCAAAGTAATAATTTCAAACTTGGTTTTTAGTTCGAGAAAAATCAGTCACATTTTTTTAATCAAATTTAACTGTCAACTTCGGACAGATAGGAAATTTCCCGAGACGCTTTTTTTACAGCAGCATTCAGATATCACTTATACATATATTCATTTATAATTTTTCAAATGAACTGCTGAGGGTCATGGCCTTTTCTAGTTTTCCTACAACATCCACACTTGTCTATAGTCAAACGCAAAAATGCCTTTTTAAAATCATTATTGTTCAAAGCATAAATGAATGGATTGATGGCCGAGTTTACCCAACCCAGCCAGACTAAGCAAGCTGTAAGCGTGGGATGGAAGACGCAGCTTTGGCAAAATGGCTCAATTAAGTAGACGGTGAAGAAGGGCAGCCAACAGATGATAAATCCTCCAACAACGACACTGAGGGATTTGGCAACTCTTCTCTCGCGCTGGAAAGCTGCTCTTTCGTAACCGTCTTTCTTTCGTATCGTCAAACGAGTCGGTTTTTGAGATTCTTTTTTTGGGTTGCAGTACTGGCAGTGGTAGTTGTAGTTGGAGCCCTGGTCGGGGTCTTCCTGAGATTTGTTCCGACTGACTAAGGGGTGTGGGTTGTCGTTTTCGGTGGGCTGTTGCTGCTGGTAATCCTTTTCTTCGTGATGGTGCTCGTGGTTCTGTTGGTGGTAAAGTTTCGTCGTCACGTTTGGGTTGTACGTGTTTTGACGGTGTAGGAAGAATGCTGATGAGCGTATGAGTGAAAAGGAACTTCTTCGCCTTCCACTGCTACTCCTGGTACTGCTTCCACGAACCTGTAATGGAAGAACAAAAATATATTCAGAAATGCTTCGAGAAAACGAATAAGACAAATCTTATAGGTCTCTAAAAATAAATTTAGTTGTTAATATTAGGTATTGTACGATTTTCTTTGTTTCAATATACAATAACTATTCATAACTTTATCGGACAAATGTTATATCATGTACCCGAGATGGCGGAACTATTTTGATTAGAGTGCCAGCCAAATTAAAATTTAATACTTTCGCATATCCCGTAAACGACTTGTTAATTTTCTTCATAAAAATCATCTTCAAACTAAGTAATAGTTACATAGTAATAATAGATTGTGTAGTTATTAACTGACTTCAAATGGATATAGTGGAAACGATAAAAGGTAAAATATTATAAAGTGGGCACCCTTTGAATTAACGCTAGATACCTTTTTAAATTTTTACAGATATCTTTCACAGCATAGACTAGTAGCGTAACATCCTGGAAATAGAGTTAACTGTAGTAATGTAGTCAGCCTTACATCCTAGCAATATAGTAATCTATAGTAATACAGCCAGCCTTGCATCATGAACACTACCGTTATGGTCCCCAAAATCATACTTTTTTTCCTGAAGCCACCTACATTATCCTCTATCTCTTATGAGTTTTTTTTAATGTGATCAATAATACGCACTTCTCCCGTGTCATCTAGTGACACGTGTGCCATAGGTTTGCCATGTCTGTCCTAGATTCTAGTGCCGAGGTAAAAAATGGTTAGTTCTAAAAATATTTAACAGTCGAAAGTAAGCTCAACCGAGTAAAAATACTGAAGTTTTTAATTTTTCTTAAAATTAATTCACTCATTCAGTAAACAGAAAATATTAGCACATTCGAAACAATTTTTTTGGGCTAAAAAGGTGCGTAAAAATATGTATTTGAGTACATTCAAAAGCTCAGAAAGTTATTGTGATCGGTTATTTTTCTATTACACTGTATATAATTGTATGTATGCTTTACCCATAACTCAGTTTTCAATAAATTTAATTTAAGAAAGCTTCCAATTGTATAGATCTATTGGAAAGCGAATGGAATCTTGAATGCTCTTTAATAAAACGGATCTGTTTAAGACTACCTCTGACAGTTTAAACTATTGTATTTATTGAGCGATTGAAGGATATCCAACTAGTAATATGTTTATTTTTTGATTTAAAATTGCTTGTCAGTCAAACCTAAAAACTTTATCCGGTTGTAAAAGAATAGTTCTATAAAATATATAATTTTATATAGATGCAAACGATGGTAAAGTCCTTGATATTGGTTTTTTACTTTCATAACTAGAACAAACAGAAATTAGTAACATGATAAATTGCTTAGTAAAACATTTTTCCGGACATTGCTCTCCATCAATGCGACTAATCAAGAATTGTCGTTTGTAATAATAAATCAATTCTACTTGAACATATTTATAGCTACTCGAGAATAAATAATGAATTATTGAGCAGTAATAAATTAGTGAGTAAAGATATTAAGCTCAGAATCAATCTCAATCTAGACCGATTCATTACGAATCGATCCTTATTGACAAATAATGCAGAATGTTATTGATATGGATTCATCATTTGTTTAGGGGTTAAGGTTGGTTGTGTTTGTAAGATTTAAAGGTATGTTCTTTAGTTGAACTCGAAAGATGTTTTAAGAAATAGAGTATGAGAAAATTCTAAATACATTTTTTATTTAAACCAGTACCATCGAAGATCAAAAGTGTATTGTGTTTATAACGCTGTCTATGAAAGTAAGTAAAGATATTTTGTTTGGATATTATTTTATGATACCACACATTGAACATCATTTATGACACCACTCATTAAACATTGAACATTCAAATTACATTGGGGAACAAATTCTTAAATTACTGGGAAAAAATTTCAATTTTTACAAATGCTTGATCTTGTCTAATTAAGGTGTGGGTATTTCAAATCTGATATTAGCTTTGATTCTAAAGCCACTGATTTTCTTAAAATAAAATTTTTTGTCCAAATGTTTTTGTTCAAAAACTTTATATGCAACATTGGGTCACTTAAATATTGCGATAAGCTTTAAAGATAGTTAGGGCACATAGTAGAGACTAAAATTGTATAGAAACTCGTGCCTGAAAATTTTATCGTGTGCAGCTAGGGGTGCATCCCTATTATGAACTGTTCAAAAGCTTACGAAGAAACAGTTCATGAGTTGGTAAGCACCACTAGCGACGTATGACGACATTTTCGAGCATGAGATCCTATGCAATTTTAATTCTGATGATGTGCTCTAACTACCTTGTTTAACGCAACAATTATGTGACTCCTTCTGAGATGTAACGTGTTTAAACTCATGCATTTTGTCATAAAATAGACTAAAAATGTCACCTAAAAACAGTAGCTTGAAGAGAGAAACAGATTAAGGATTTAAAATCAGCGATACGAAACTCTATTAAAAAATCTGATGGAGAAAAAAAGTTCTTTAATGTTATTCTAACATATTAATGCTTTCAATTCGACCCATAAGTATTACCTGAATTCTTCGAATAATTACTCAAAGTACAAGTTTAACCTGAATCAGAATCAATTTCCTGAAATAATAACTGTAGACTAAATCTTCTTACCTGTGACAGTGGAAGCGTTGTTTCTTCTGTTGGAGCAGAATCTTGTCGGCCTTGTTCCTTCAACATGCGCTGGTGGTCCGTTGGTACTGAATTATCTCCTAGAGTAGAGGAATTGCTGTCTGACCCGTGTCCATCTTTCGCATTAGCGCTGCCACCAGTGCCTTGCATTAGGACTGCCTGCCGCTTACGAGCTACAGCAAATATCCTCCAATAGACATAAACCATAATGAAAGCCGGGATGTAAAATGACCCTGAAAATAATGGAATTGTTAAATGGCATAATTGTAAAAAGTGGATGAAAATTATCTGACGGACCTTGTTATGCATCAACAGCAAGTAGAAATCAGATTAAGACAATTATCTAATATGAAGAAATCTAACTAGAGAGGAAGAAACTGAAAACATCAATCTTTTTGCTTACTGGGAGAAACAGAGAGGCGATTATCAGAAAAACTTGCCATCAGGAAATCAAAATCTTGATGTTTTTAGCCTGTCTTCCTCACAAGAGGTTGGATTGCGTTTTTGCTTTTTTAAACTAAAGTATTAAATTGTGACACCTAAAGGCCTGGTTTCTTAGGACAGGACGCCGTCAGCTGGAAATCAGCGATAACCTCTGATTGGTCCATTTGTGAGTTTGATAGTATACGTCATCGAACGCTCATCTTGAACTACAATTGCCGTCCAACTCAACTGCAGTTGGATTACAACGTGACGTTAACCACAGAAGCAATGGCAGACAGCATCCAACAGTACATTGAAATCAGCCAAGATTTTGATTTTGATATTAAACATAGCTTCTTCATTAAACATAGCACTCTTCATTTAGCTCAGCTATAATGTGTTTTTTCTTGGGCAAAGTCATTACTTGTTCTCTAAAACACTGGTCGACAATAACAAAATCAATACAAATTCAAAATAAATATTTGTTTACATTATTAACGCATGCGCAATGAGACATAATGTCTGCGTTGGACCGACTGCTCAAGCTGAGCTAACAAAAAAGTATTTTTTGGCGTCACTTCTACGTCAACTTTCCGCTGACGCCCAGATAAGGCGCTAGTTCTAAGAAACCAGGCCTTGAGCTAACAAACCAGTATTTTGTTGGCGTCAGCGGGACGTTGACGTCACGCTGACGCCCAGATAAGGCGATTGTCCTAAGAAACCAGACCTTAACATGTGTACTTGAAATATACGATATGAGAAATGATTACGAAAGATCCAGTGTGTACTATAAATATACACTGCATGTACTTTTAATGTCACAGTGGTCTGAATTTTTTAAACCGAACGCTTAAAAATAGAAAAGTATTGAAGCACCTATATCTTAAATTTCAATAAATATTTTCAAATATTAATAACTGCAAAACTATTAAGGTTGAAAAGCAATTTTTGTGGCAAATTTCTGTAATGGGGCATAAATTCTCCTATAGATTTCCTTTGGATTTAGTTTCTCACAAAAGAGGCTGCAGAATATGCCTGAAAAGCAACGAAAAATAACTAAAATCACATCAGAATTTTTCGAGACCTTTAAATTAAGGAAAATCAAATTACAGTCTTTTCAAAATATCCAACTTAAGTAGTAATCAGGTCCCGCAGAGGACTGATAGTTAAGACATGGTTCTCAGCAGATCATCGAAGTCAAACATCACTGCCTGCGGTCAGTGTGCGGGTGGGTGATCACTTGGATCAGTCTGCGTAGGGACCAAGGGTGTGCGGTATTGGTCCTTATTAAACTGTTCTGCCGTAAAGTGCTAGACTTCGCTTGCAGATCGTCGGCTACCGAAGCGGGGGTGCCATCCTCTCTGCATTGGATCAAAAATTGTGATGGCATGTCTTAGGATTATCCTCAAGGATGTTTCCCAGACCGTCGCCAATAGCCCATTGTGCAGCTCTAGTGCGACGTAAATGAACCACAACTACTAGAAGTAGTAATCAGACATAGCAATTGAAAGGATTAGAAAAGGCTTGTAACGCCATCTGAGGAAAACATTTTGAACTAATATCAGGAATATTATAAATAAAACGAATGTGTCATCGAATTTGCTGCAAGAACTGTTTTTTTCCCTTCCTTTTTTTCCAATTTTGACCGTTTTCCTACGACACATTTTTGAAAATCATCGGTACAGTTTAAGGCATCCTTTACATGTTGATGATACCGTACCATTTAGTGCGTTTCTTTTTTTTTTCTCTTATCCTTTCTGCGAGTGAAATTTTTTAAATCTTTGCTTAATTATTTATTTATCCTCTATTTCCGTTCATCATACTGCAAGTAATATTTTTTTAAATTTTGAATAAATAACGAACATGAAACTGCTACGATTAAGTATCGCTTACAATAAAATTTCAAACAAAAATAAAGAAAAACAAAATGATTTCATATCAATCAATTTTGTGCACCTAATTGAAATGAATGCATGTATTAAAACATGGAAATAGAATTGGGGTTTTGTGACGTCATTAACAAGTTTTACCTAAAGCAGAGTAGACAACGTATCCTTGATCTGCAATGTAGGCACATTGGGTGTCATTTTGATTAGTGCCGCGGTCATGCCATCCAAACATGGGTGGACACGTGATGACAGCGCTCACTAACCACACTATACCAATCATAATTAATGCGAGTCGAACACTTCTCTTTACAGCATAGGCCAATGGTTGGGTAATTGCAAAGTACCTGCAACAAAGAAGTTGTAAATGGGATGAACATTTTTATTATTAGGCGTTTTTCCCTCGGTCCACACATTTACCCTTTCCGTTACCATAGTTTTGGCAAATTTCATTTTTTCCCCGTGTCAGTATATTCTGACTTCTTACTGAAACATAATGCCGTGGGGGAAAAAGCGAGATTTTCAGAAACTATGGTAGTGGAGGGAGAAAGTGTGGAGAGTGGGGAAATCACATATCCTTAAAATACCAATATCAACTGAGACAATAAATATCTAAATAGCTAATAAATTACCTACTACGTAATAACGGTATCATTTCAGTAATACAATTTAATGGCACTTTTATACCGTTTTCCAATTAGTTTATGCAAAATAACTCTACAGATGTGTGTTTATTCACTTATTTTTGTACGGAACTGTGAAAAGAAATCATTTAAGATTGCAAGAAAAATATTTTGTAAGTCGATAATCTGAGCTAAATTTAAAGTATTCAGAGTTGACTGAGAAATGTTGGATGTTGTTAGAAATGTTGGATCTAATTGAATCATATTGGCGATCATAAAAATTAGCAAAGGTTAAATAAATGTTAATAAAATGCACAATAATGGTTTTTAAGTATATATGAAAACTTAAATTAATACAATTAAAACAGAACTAAGTGAAAATGGTATCGTTTAGAAGGGAGGTGCAGTTTAGATTTAAAAAGGCATAAAATTTGTAGAGAATACGTAAACATTTTAATTGTTCATAATATGCATTTATAATATACGTTATTGATGCGTATTTTATAAAAGTGATTACTGAAGTAACAATAATGCTCAATTTTTAATTGCACTAAGAGTTTGTTTTAATGAATCAATGATTTCAGTTCAATTTTACGAAACTGTGCTGTCAAAGGTTTTTGATTATCTCAGCAAAATACCATACGTAATTCCAAAATAAATAAATAAGTAAATAAAATAAAAGGAAAGAAAAAATATGCGAAAGTAGTATTTTGTGAAAGGGAGGTACGACGTAGATTATAACTTTGTTGACCGGCAATTTTGCTCAGAAACGATCATGTCACTGGCTATTATTTTGTAATCGAATATGGAAGTAAAGTAAAACACTCTAAATAAACTCCTATAAATCTTATCTACCTTGAACTAAATGCAATTAAATTCAACTTTGGAATATTCTATATCGTCTAGGGTTTTCATGAACTGAAATGGGCAATGCTAGTGCAATGGCGAGTTAACTTGTCACCAGCCAATAATGTGTTGAGAGACATAAAGTACGTGTATAATATGTGAACATTATAAATGTTCACATATTATGTACGTATTTCATAATAATGATTGGTAAAGCTGCCATAACAATAACGCTCATTGCAACATAAGTATATTTTGACGAATTAATGTTTTGTGAGAATTAGTGTTCTATTTTAATATTCATAATAATATGCATTGATAATGTATGTTGCTAATATGTATTATATGGTGCTGCGATAAAAATAAAACTCAAATTTTAATTACAGAACAAGTTTCTTAGACGATTTTGTAACTGGAGTCATATTTTACAAAATTACGAAAGTTAAAAGTTTGATTGTCTCTGGAGACTTCAAAATTCAAAACTAATTCAAAAAACAGCGATGAGAAAATAGTATTTTTTGAAAGAAGGCAAATCACTGTTAAGATATTTGAAACATAGTAACAGTGACGTAGGCAGCTTATTTAAATGTCTATGAACGCCCACTCAGATGCTGTTATTTTATGATTTTTAACTACACGAAAAGTTCATTTAAATGTTTGCGAACGTCTACTCAAATTCTTTGATTTTATAATTTTTAATTACAAAATAAATTTATTTCGACGAATTCACGAAATATAAAATTCACGAATTCACGAAAATTTCATAAAATGGGACTCAGAAGTTCCATTTTATAAAATTGTGAAAGCTATAAAAGTTTAGGAATTTCTTAACTTAAGACTTTTAAAAAAACCAATTCGAGAAACAACGATAAAGAAATAATATTTTTGTGAAAGAAGGTAAATCGTGATTTTGGATTTTTGAAAGACAGCAGGAGAGGGGGGAAGGCGTGACGCATCGGGACGTAGAAATTTTATTTAATTGCTTGCAAATGCCCACTCAAAACTATGTTACTTAATAATTTTAGATAACAAAACGAAATTCATTTTGGCCAATTCATGATTTCAGTTACATTTCACAAAATTGTGAAAGTTAAAAGTTTCAGCACCTCGCGAGACTTGGCGGAAAAAAAAAATCGAAAAACAAGGATAAGAAAATAGTATTTTTTGAAAGAAGGTAAATCACGGTTTTGGATATTTGAAAGGCAGCAACAGTGGAAGGGGGGGGGGTGATGCATCGGGACGTGGTAAGCTTATTTAAATGTCTTACGAACGCCCACTCAAATTCTGTTTTGCTTCCATCACACCGTGTGACACACAACAAGGAAAAAAACTTGTGAATGGAAGTAAAAGCTGCACGGGAATACAATCCTTTTCAAAACCTATCTGGGAATACCGGTGACTATAAATAGAATATTTCTTTTCTGAATGTTATTCCTCGCTCTTGCAGACCAAAAAGTAACTTGAATAAAAACGGTTTTTTCTTCATTCAACCCCAGAACGACGCTCACACAGAATCGTTCGAGATCCATCACTCTAAAAAGGAACCTCCGCTTCTTGAGTGCGACCAGTTTTTTTTGTTGAAGAAAATGATTTATTTTTTTTGGAATTGTGGTTTTGTGTATTCTTTAGATTGATTTTTGTATTAAATTCTTTTTATGAGGGATTAATACTCCCACGAAATCACGTTTAGTTTGAATAATTGATATTCTTTAGAGTTTTGTTTACTAATTCCTTTTAAACTTAGGGATATCGCTTATTTATTCTTTTCTTAAAAATATACATATATTTTAAATATAAATATGGAGTGCGTTTGACATATTTTTGAAATGCAGTTTAATTTCTGACATTCATTCTTTTGGTTATTGGGAAATCCAAAGGTTCTAAACGATTTGGTTGCTATTGTCTTTCTTATTTGGCAAAGTTATTAAAAAAAATACTAAAAAAGTTGATCATTTACAGCAGCGGTTCCCAAATGATGTTCCGAAAGTTTAAATCAGTATCTAATGATTTTTAAACCTGTTATTATACTTATATCTAAGCAACAAACCATTATTTATTTACTATTTCGGTTCGTTTTATGAAATTATTGAAGTAAAATAGCAATAAAAAAGGATCAGAAAATTTCTTTAAAAAAATTTCTTCCAATAACAATATATTGATTAAATTATGAAAAGGATATGCATTTATAAAAAATAGCATTATTATTTCTTATGGAACCTTTCAATGCAATATAAAACAATCGAATCATAGAATAAGGAATTATGTTTTTCTGATAACTATTCTAAGCGGTTATAACAGTTCTTTTTCGAAAACTATAATTCTGCGTACGTTGTTTTCAGCTTATGCATACACCATCAACAAATTCAGATGTCTAGATTCAACTCCAGGCTTGCTACTTCAGCTATTTGACATAAAACTTATAATTTTTAGTATATGATTGAGAAAACGATGATTGAATAAATTCCATTCTTCACATTAAATGAAATCAATATAATTTGTAGTTTTTTAAAATTATATTTCTTACTTTTTTAGTATATTCACATCTACTAATTTTATATTTTAACTTTGGGTTCTGCTAATTGATGCTCGATTGTTTAGAGTTCCATAACCGTAAGTTCAGATCTACAGCCTTTCTACATACTATACATTTATAAATATTTTAGGATTATTTTTTTATTTAATGATTTTAATATTTAGTGACAACAAATTTCATTATCAACAAATTTTCCGATTTATTGATTTGTTTCTTTTCTTGCCTTTTTCTTCCAACCTTATTGGTTGTTGATATGGTGAGGAGCAATTCATAAAATATAGCACACGCGGATCGCCTTTAAATTACAATAACCATACCATGAGCGATTAATACTTAAGGACGATTCATTGTGACGCCATAACAACGCATTTTTCAAAGTTTCTTTTCGTTTTGCTTTCAGTTGAGTCCTCTAGTATCCTTAAAAGGACATAGTTTATGTTGCGGATGTGAAAAATAGAATCTCTACATTTGTGATTTAGTGTCTTTGTCTTATTTTTATATATTTCTATTTATTTTTCTTTCACTTTGTTGTATGATAAATTCTGCTATAAACAGAGAAAAAAGTCTATATAAGTTGTAGAAAAGCTTTTATGGAGTAGCTATACGAAATAACATTTATCCAACAGTACACTTAATCATATAAGAAAAATAACCCTTATCGAATTCTTCTATTAGTTTAAAAGGATTAACGGTGCAAGTCATACATATAATTATATATCATATAAAATATAGAAAGAAATTTTAGTACAAGAAAAATATAGAGATGTTAAAATACTTAAATCAAATCGTAATATAATTTAGATGCTAAGGAAAAGGTACATTTTACCTTCATTAATCATTGATATTATTGTTAATTATTGCGAATTATTATCGTTATCAAAAGTGATCGCGATATTATTGTTCCTGACATTTATCGTATTTAATGATACTCGCGATATTATAGTATTCGAAATTTGGCATTAAAATAGTGACCGTGTTACTAACATTTTCGTTATTATTATATATTTGATATTTATAACAAGACCTGGTGCTCACGATGTATCGTGAATATACTTTTTTAACAGCCTTTAACGCATTGTTTAAAAAATATATCGACAATTTACGATTTATCGATATTTTTTCCGACATATCTAAATTTTCGACATACACTATTTTTTCGACATACTTAAAATTTCTAGTCATATTAAAGAAAAGATAAAAAAAAAAAAGATTTATAATTTAGGTGATAACCATTTGGAAAAGATTCAAGAAAAGTTATTTGAGAAATAACGATCAATATATCACCTACAACGTATAAGGCGTGATCTAATACGATATATATATTTGAAATGATAAACTCAAGACT